GAAACGATGACTATTATTCCTTAGGTCATTTTATGGGCAGAAAAATTTTAGGCGCTTCGGGTCCGGTTGCTCGAAGCGTGAAGATGGCCTAGGCTAATACACACGAAAATCAGAGAATCAGACGAAATTCCGGTTTTATGGCCCTAAAACGCCAAAAAATAAGGAACAATCATGGCGAAGCGATGACTTTGTTCCTTAGGTCATTTTCAATGGTTCGAGCGATTCGAGTCTGGTCGCCCGGATGAATGCAAATAGACTATAGCACAGGAAAATCTAAAAATCGGGCGGAATTCCAGTTTTACGGCCCTAAAATGCTAAAAACGAGCAACTGCCATGGCGAAGCGATAACTATTGTTCTTTAGGTCGCTTTCGATGGGCCAGCAAAATTTTAGGCTATTCAGGTACGGCCTCCTGGATACATGCATATGGCATGGGCTATAGCACACACAAAAATTTAAAATCCGGTGAAATTCCAGTTTTATGGCCTTAAAACGCCAAAAACGAGGAATGGTCATGGCGAAGCAATGACTATTATTCTTTAAGTCATTTTCGATGGACCGGAAAAACTTTAGGCGATTCGGTTCTGGTAGCATGGATACATGCAGATGGCGTGGGCTATAACACACAAAAATTTGAGGATCGGGCGGAATTCAAGTTTTATGGCCCTAAAACGTGAAAAATGAGGAACGGTCATGGCGAAGCAATGACTATAGTTGCTTAGGTCGTGTTTGATGGGCCAGCAAAAGTTTAGGCGATTCTAGTCTGGTCGCCTGGATGCATACAGATGACGCAGGCTATAGCACACAAAAATCTGAGAATCATGCGAAATTCCTATTTTATGGCCCTAAAATGCCAAAAAACCAGGAACGATCATGCCGAAGCGATAACTATTATTCCTTAGGCCGTTTTTGATGGACCGCTAAAATTTTAGGCGATTCGGATCCAGTCGTCCAAATGCATGCAGATGGCGTAGGTTATAGGACACGAAAAATCTGAGAATCGGACGGAATTTCCAGTTTTATGGCCCTAAAATCCCAAAAAACAAGGAATGGTCATGGCAAAACGATGACTACTGTTCCTTAGGTCATTTTTTATCGGTGGACAAATTTTTAGTCGATTTGGATCCGGTCGCCCGGATGCATACAGATGGCGGAGGTTGTAGCATACAAAAATCTTGAAACCAGGCTAAATTTCAGTTTTATAGCCGTAAAATACCTAAAAACGAGTAACGTGAATGAAGTTAACACTCTTACTTCATATGTCTTCTTAATCTTTCATCATGACTGACGTGAATGAATTAGTGAAATTATAGTAATTATTTTCATTTACTCCATCACATACAATTTGGACATTATTCAGTATTTTTAAGGCCGTCCAAGGTAATACCTTTCAGTATCGAAATGAAAATCTAAATGAAGAAAAATAATTGACACGAAAAAGCATTTAGTCTTTCTATCACCGTAGACGGAAATGCAAAGAGCTTGATTATTAGTAAAACTTTATATAATAATCTTAAGTTAACTCTTACATCCACCAAGTCATAATTCTTTGTTTTCCCTTACAGTGCCAAGTTCAATAGTATTCTTAGTTCTAATGCCTACCCTTTCAGTAGTTACCTTCAGAACCTAGAAACTAACCTCCAAGCTGAGTTCTTAGCAATCCTTATGACTGAGGTGAGGAGGAGTTTTGGAAGCTCAAATCCAGGATAAGTTGGTTGTGTGAAGGAGACGCCAACACTATATTCTTTCACACTACTACCATTAATAGAAGAAGGAGAAATATGATCCTAAACTTAACGGATGAAGCAGGTAACCAAACCAAAGATCCCTAGCACATCAAAGAAACCGCCAAAAGGTACTTTGCAAACCTTTCACTGCCTCACATGCCTCATCTACCTACAAAAGCAGCTGCTATGAGGACACCTAACTGGTCCTAACTGATAGCATAAGAGCATCTCTTGACCTACCTCTTAGGTACTCTGAAATTAAGAAGGCCAAGGATTGTTTCAAACCCTTTAAGACACCTGGGCATGATGGGATGCACCCCTTCTTCTACCAAACGTACTGGAACATACTCTCTACCCAAGTCAACAACTTCTGTCAGAAGGTATTCTCCACATCAACTATTCCACCTGAAGTTAATAGGACTCTTCTACGCTTGATCCCAAAATGCCATTATGCTTAAGAACTTTAGACCAATTGGGTTGTGTAACACAATATACAAGCTTGTCACAAAGATCATAGTGAATAGGATTAAGCTATTACTCCAGATCATAATTGGCCCCACACATGCCAGTTTTCTCTCAAACATGAGGGTTGTAGATAATGTCATAATTGTTCAAGAATACATCACTCACTTTCAAAAGATGAAAGGCAAAAATGCTAACATGGTCCTAAAGATTCACTTAGAAAAAGCATTTGATAGACTTGAGTGGTCCTTCATTAGAGACTCCACAATGTTCTTTAAGTTTCCACCTAAAATGACCAATCTGATCCTCTCATGTATCTCTTCTAGTTCCATCTCCATCCTAGCCAATGGAAGCCAAACTGAGCCTTTTCCCCCTACTAGAGGAATCAGGCAGGGAGACCCAATCTCCCCCTACCTTTTCATTATTTGCATGGAAAGACTTTCAAGGAATATTGACCAAGCAGTCCTGAGAAAGGACTGGCTACCCATTAGCATCAGCAGGAATGGCCCAAAAATATCCCACATTTTCTTTGTCGATGATCTCATCCTCTTTGGTAGAGCCAAAAGAAAAACTGTGATACTATCTTGGCAACCTTAGAAGAATTCAACAATGCCTCAGGCCAAAAGGTTTACTTTCAAAAATTCAAGGTTATCTTCTCAGCCAATTGCAAGGAAGATTGGGCTAGTAGTTGTAGCTCCATGCTAGGAACTAGGAAAAAATGTGAGTTTGGTAAGTATCTAAGTTTCCCCATTTTTCATAAAATTCCTACCAATAGAGACTTCCAATTCATTATTAATAGCATGAACACTAGACTGGCTGGCTGGAAAACTAAGATGTTAAACATGGATGATCGTACAACCCTGGCAAACGCAAGCCTGGGAAGCATCCCCAGCTATGTGATGCAATATATAAAGCTACCATCTCACATCACCAACCAAATTGACAGAATCCAAAGGAACTTTATATGGGGCACCACAACTGAGAAAACAAAGCTGCACATGATCAAATGGGATACAATTACTAAGCCAAAGAACAGGGGGTTGGTCTACAGCAAGCCCAGATGAAAAACAAAGCCAGCCTGACAAGCCTAGCTTGGAGGTTATACCAGAACGCAGACACAATTTGGGCTAGGGTCCTAATGGGTAAGCACTGTAGTAGAAGCCAGGTTAGGGCTAATGCAAAATCTAGGACTTGGTAATGCATACAAGAATGATGGAAGGTATGCATTAAGGCTTCTAGATGGGTAGTCCAAAAAGGGGATAGAGTTAATTTCATTGTTGATAACTGGATCCCAAATATGCAAACCCTAAACTCAATCCTCTGTGGGCCTTTGCACAACTCTGACTTGACCCTAAAGATAAGCTCCATCATCCACAATGGGGAATGGAACCTTGGTGTTGTTTACTACCCCATTCCCAAGGATATTATAAGTGTTATCCACTCCACCTTCATCCCTATTTCTAGCAACATTGAAGATAAACCTATTTGGAACCTCAATAGAGATGGGCTTTTTAGCATTAAGTCAGCTTACAACCTTACTAGTTCTGAGCTAAAACCCAATAATGGCCAGGATGAACTTTTTTGCTGGATTTGGAAACTAAAAGTCCCTAATAAAATAAAAATGTTCACTTGGATGATGCAGCACAACAGGCTGCCAACCGCAAAGCATCTAAACAACATTAGCTTAAATGTAAGCCCCATATGCTATTTTTGCTCCTCTGGAGTGGAAGACATAAACCACATCTTTTTTGAGTGCATCAATGTAAAACCTTCGGGCTATCTCTGACACAGGAGTGTACAAAGCATGATTGTCGCTCATACCTTGTGTTTTCAATGATTCATTGGGAACAAACATGGCACAAGGTCAAGAACATGCATTTCAATGCTTCTATTGACTGGAAAACTCTCCTACCTTACTGCTTTTGGAGCTTCTGGCTCACTAGGAACAACAATGTCTTTGACAAAAAGAAAAACTTCACCCATGTTGCCCAAACCACTGCTAGAGCTAAAGAGTACTATCATGTTGTTGTCCACTACACGGACAAGGGGAAAGCACATACACATTAAATGGGAGCCTCCACCTAATTGCTCCTATAAACTAAACACAGATGGAGCTGCTTGCCAAAAAGTTGGAGTAGGAGTGGGGGGAGGGGTGGGGGG